GCAGAATCTAGCGAATAGATCATTAGAATTTGAACCGAGCTATGGCAATTGGAGGTGTGGCTGTAGAGATGGGGATGGAGTTTAGGAAAATTTCTAAAATAGAACCAAATGGAGTTGTTAATTGGATATGGAAAGTGGGAAACACCAAAGAACCAAAGACAACTGCCTGGCTTCCCAACCTGCCTACATGGAGGAATACTGATGTTGTTAATGTGGAAGAAGGAAATGGCAAGATGTGTAGAAGTGTAGAAGACAACTTGGTTTGAAACTTCTTTTACTTAAATCATATAACAGTTTTTAGAGGCTTTAGGTAAAATCTAATAGGTACTTGAAAATATGGTTAGTGATGGACAGCATCTGTTGCTTTGTTCTGCCTGGCATCTGGGGCTAGCTTTAGAATTTTTTTTCAGAGGAGGATATTTGAGTGGCAATCTGGTTAGAAGAAGTTTTGTCTTTTTTTTTTTTAAGATTTTATTTATTTATTTGACACACAGTAGAGAACACATGCAGGGAGAGTGGGAGAGGGAGAAGCAGGCTCCCCACTGAGCAAGGAGACTGATGCAGGGCTCGATCTCAGGACCCCAGGACCCTGATCCTGGGCTCAATCCTGGGACCACGGGACCATGATCCAAGTGGAAGGCAGATGCTTAACAACTGAGCCACCCAGGCACCCCAAGAAGTTTTGTCTTAAAGCTGCATTTAGAGATGCCTGTGTGGCTCAGTCAGTTAAGTGTCTACCTTCAGCTCAGGTCATGATCCCAGGGTTCTGGGATCGAATCCTACAACAGGCTCCTTTCTCAGCAGGGAGCCTGATTCTCTCTCTGCCTGTTCCTCCCCCTGCTTATGATCTCTCTCCCTCTCTCTGACAAATAAATAAATTAACTAAAAATTTTTTAAAGCACTGCATTTATTTAGCAAACACGATTACTTTTCAAAAGCTTAGGTTGCATGTGTATTTAGTTGTATAAAAGGAGGTTGAATAGTACGACAGCATCAAAGTCGCTGAGTAACCACTGCTGGCTTCCATCCCTTCTTATTCTGGTCACACCACTTAAGTTTTCCTTGACAGCATCACCCTTTTCTCACTCTCCCTTCCTGGGTTTTAGTCACCAGGCACTATCCTATGGATCCAAGAGTGGGTTCATATCTGAACTCAACCAATCAGAGCCAATGAGACTGAAGTCTAGGAGTTTCCAATGGAACTGCTGAGGAAAACAAAACAAAACAAAACAAAACAGAAAACTCTTTCCATAGTCATTTGCTAAGAGACTATGATGTAGAATTGGAGATGGTGGCAGCTAGTTTTCTTGTCTGCCAATGGAGTCAACCCAAAGGAAAAGAGAACTGATGATCTGGTTCTGAAAACCTTACTTGAGTCCTAGGATGCCAGTTCTGGGTTTCAATCGTATGTGGCATTAAAATTCCCTTTTTACCTTAAGCCATTTTGAGTGGGTTTCTATCACATACAACCAAAGAAGTCCTGACTAATACAGTATGGGGGATGAGAAAAATGCTCAATTTTTCAAAAGTTTCAACTATTCAAGAAAAAACTAAGAGGGGGCGACCAGGTGCCTTAGTCACTTGAGCAACCGATTCTTGACTTCCGCACAGGTGGTGATCTCAGGATTGTGGGACGGAGCCCAGGATGGGGCTCTTTGCTGAGCATGGAGCCTGCCTAAGTTCTCTCTCCCTTTCCCTCTGCTCCTCACCACCCGCCCCCCCCCTCATACGCTTTCTCTTAAAAAAAAAAAAAAAAGATAAAACTGAAAGGAATACTATTGTGACTACACAAGTATTCTCTTCTATATTTAGTGGCTGACAAGTGTATATGGAACATCATCTGTAGTGCCAGGCACTGTGTTAGGCTCTGTGCATAGAACGGGTTAATTTAAAGGTATAGTTACAACAATATATTTATGGACAGTTTATTAAAATATCATTATAATTTGACTGAATTAGCTAGCTAGAATTAATTCATGAATTTTGGGTTTTATATTTTATATACTTTCCTTATATTTCTTTTGCAGACCTGAGGTTAGCCAAAATCCATGGTCAGCAAATAAAGTTATTTACTTGAATCTTAGAAATATTTCAAATGTCTGGAATATAAAACTCCGTACTAGGAACTCGAGTTTCATTATATAGATAGCCAAAGGGTCTTGGAGATTTTACTTAGAATGTCTCAACAAATGTCTAACTCCTGATATATAGAATTTTGGGGGTCTTTCTCCTGCATCCTTATTTGCACTGTTTTCAAAGGTTACTGGTGGTAGAATCTCATCTAGTGATAAAAGCTTGATTAAACTATCTGATGTGATGTTAGTAATAGCAGATTATATAAAATTGTAGGCTGAAGAACTAATCAGGCTTGTTTTTTTCTCTGGTAGCATTCATGAATACTTCATTTTTTAGCCACCTTTGTGTCTCAGCTGTCTCTTTTGGTCTTTAGTTGTCAGTTGAGGATGCTTTAATTAAGCATGTTTTTGCTTCACACTCCGCCCTTGGGTCATTAAAAATTGTAACGGAAAACATGCTAATGGAAAAATAAATTGTTTAAATCTGTTATTAATATGAGTATTTAAATATATATCATGGGATTCATAAGACATTGTACTGAAAAATCTGAAACAGAAAAGCGTATTATTTTTCACCGTCCTAGGTCTCATAAAAACTACATATAAATAGCAATTAATGTACCACAAATACATGGCAACAAAATATTTCATCTTTTCTAAGTTCGCTGCTTAAATTTAAATGATCATTAAGTGTTTCTTTTTCTTACCAGGGGTTTTCAGGGAACTCACTAGGGTGAGCTAGCAAACATATTCTTAAGACAAAAAAACAAATATAGATGTCAAAGAGAAATTATATGTGCCTTTGTCCAGAGAACCTTTTTATGGCCTCAGAGCCCTTCTCAGGCCTGGGTTCTCTTTTCTCTTCAGCAAGTGCTCAGTACGAATTCCTCTTTTTTCCTGAGATTGTTACTATCCCAAGTCAAAGATAAGCTGCAGAGTGGGGCACGTTTCCCCCCCGTCTTGCTCACTACCCCCTTCTAATTCTTGGCTGCTCCTAGAAATTAGGACAAGGATCATTTTCATTACAAAAGTTTTAATCACTCTGGGGATAGCAAAAATAATAAGCTTGAGGACATCTGAAAGCTTAGAAACTACATGAAGTCCTAACACTAAGTTTTTTTGTTTTTGTTTTTTTCTTACACTAAGTTTTTCCTGCATCATAGTTCCTCACTATCCTGTTTAGATGATCATATACTGGAAAGTACAGTGGATTTGATTTTTACTTCCAGACTTACTGGTGGAGTTCACCAAACCTACTTGCACCTTCGGAGTTTACTCTTCATGACATGTACGTAAATTCCTTGCTCTGAGATGGCCCTTCCATTCCTATAGACTAGAAGTCACATTCAAAAGGTGGAAAAACATCCCCTCCATCCAAGTAGGTAATTTACATCTTTGAGGATGTAGAGACTGGGTAATATCCATTCCAAGGTATAGCTATCCTATAGGAAACAACACTTTTGTGCGGACACATTTCTTAAGAGGATACAAGTTTATTCTAGTTTTTGTCAGATTTCCAAGTTTTGGTATTTTCCAGGGAAACCAAAACCGATGTTTTAGACATGAGTTAGTATTCGTTGTAAAACTTGTGGCTATCATCATGCACTTAAAACCTTTAATAAAAATATGGATTTCAGGGGCCCCTAGGTGGCTCAGTTGGCTGAGCATTTCTTAGCTCAGTCAGGTCTTGAGACCCTGCATTGTGCTCCACGCCGGGCATGCAGCCTATGTAAAAAAATAATATGAATTTTTAATTATTTTTATAGGTATTGGTAAATCTTTGCATAATCCTGTGAGAAAGGGGGGCACTTAGAAAACTGAAAAGGAGCTGAACTGGCATAGTGAGGAATTCACTTCTCCCAGTAATTTTGTTTCAGGGACATTCTCCAGGATCACAATACTCAGGCCTTCTTACTTCACCAATACTACAATGCAAGACATATCAACAGTTTATTGGTATTTGAAATAGTAATTAAAAATAAATTCAGGTGCCATAGCTATTTATTAAGAAATCGGACCTAGGGTGTCGTTTTATGAGCTATATCCTCCTGTCCGTTTTAAGGTCACCTGCACAAATAAGAAAACCTAAACTTAGAAAGTCAGGTTTTACCCCAATGGCTGGTATAGTGAGCAGTATGAAGCACCAACACACACACACACACGAAGTATCAGGGGAAAAAATGAGATTGGCGTCCTAGTGTTTATTGCAAACGTAGTCCTGATCGGGAGAGAGGCCTTTCCAGACAGACAGGCGCTTCACCGTTTCCAAGCAGCAGGAAACTGGGGGTCGCCCACGGTTCGCCAGGGGTCTCGGGGTCTCAGTGAGGGCTCAGCGCCTGTGAGCGGCTGGGGGACTCAGCGCCGAGGCCGGGGTCGGGGGTGGAGGGTGCGGGTGGGTAAGGGCTCCGTCGCTGGAGGAGAGAAGCCAGCCGCGGTCGCCTGCAGCTCCGCATGCCCTCACTGTCTCCAGCTGAGAAGGGCGGGGCGAAACGGGCGCGGGCGGCGACGGCGGCTGGGGGCGGGGCCACGCGAGACCGCGCCGCCGCTTTTTGCGGTCCGGGGAACGCGCGGCGCGAGCGCGCGGGGCTGAGGGACTGGGACGAGGCCGCGGCCGGACGCGAACGCCGCAGGTGACCGGGGCGGGGAGCCGGTTGCGCGGGCGGTGGCTTAGGAGTGGAGGCGGGGGCGGGACCTCGTTCGGCTCGGCTCAAAGCCTGGGCGCTGCGGGCGGCGGAGACGAGCCGAGGCGGACGCAGGGCGTGCGGCATCTCACTTGACGGCCGGCGGCGTCCGCGGCCCTCAGCATGTTCCGCGAGGCCAGGGTTCTCCTCCCGCCCGTGGGCTGAGGCGGCGGCGGCGGCGGCCAGAAGAAGCGACATGCACCTGCCCGGCGCGGCTTAGAGGACGCGGCAGGCGGGAAGTCCCGGCCGCCAGCGGGAGGGCTTTCTTCGCGGGGCCGCGGCCGCCTGTCGCCGCCGCGGGCCCGAGCTGGAGCGGCGGGGTGGGCGCCCCGACATGGCGGCCCGGAGCGCCCCGAACTGCCACCTGCGGCTCGAGTGGGTGTACGGCTACCGGGGCCACCAGTGCCGCAACAACCTCTACTACACGGCGGCCAAGGAGATCGTGTACTTCGTGGCGGGCGTCGGCGTGGTGTACAGCCCGCGGGAGCATCGACAGAAGTTCTACCGGGGCCACAGCGACGACATCATCAGGTACGGGGTGGGGGTGGGGGCGGCCGTCATCCCCGCGAACCGCTCGCGGAGTTGGCCCATGCGCGTCCTTCTGGGTGCCTGCCGTGACCCGCTCCTGCAGCGAGCATCGCCCCAGACAGAAACCCGCCAGTGTCTCGTCCCGGATCCACCCTGGTGACACCCGACAAACGCCTTTCCCCGTCTCCGTGTTCTAGAGTCTCTCCGTCGGGTCGGTGCGGTGACACCTGGGCGTTCGGTTTTATGGCTTTGTGCCCCCTTCCTCCTTCAAATTTATGAAAACTGCAAAAAAGGTTATTTTGGTAGCAGTTTATTCCTTTAAATCCCGCCAGAGATTTCTTATTAAACGAGTTCTTAAAGCACCAAGGTGGAAATCCTTTACCTAATAGGAAACTGACAAAAACACCGCAAGCTGTAGGCTCTAAAATACTAGGTCTTGGGAAGCGCGCGCAGGTGGCAGCCTGGAGGGCACTCACCTCGTGGCCATAATAATGAGTTCAGATTTCACTGCCTACTGTTATCAGCAGACAGAAAAGAAACCCCTGCAGCCTTCAGGTGATTCATTGGAAATTAACATTTTACACACCTGAGGGCACTTTGGTGTGGAGGGTTTAATCTGAAGAAGCAGCTGAAAGTGATTAACACTGATTTCTAATTCTCTAATTTTTGTTTTTTTCCCTAAAGTACTCCTAATAAGTTCAGTTTTGTGCCTTTTATTTACCCCCCCCCCATTTTAATTATTCTTTGGGCATTACCTTAAGATTGGTGTGAGTATTTGTTTACATTTTAGTGAGCGGTATATTTGAAATTTAATTTCCAATCAGTGTCTCAGCGGAACTTTTTTGACAAATAAAGTTAAAAGCTGCAGAAATGATTCTAGGCCATTGATTATGTTTCAAGTACAACATTTTTGTCCTTGACAGAAAGAGAATATATTTAAAAACATTTTGAGAACGTGTTTGTGTGCTGCTTCTGGGTTTTTAACAGAGCTACTATGATTTGACTTGGTTGCTCAGTCTTCTTTATTTATGTTCCACTGGATTTAAATTGGGCATTTCAAGTCCAATATCTTCGTTTGCTATCTTGTAGGCAAGATGCTCTGGTATTTACATTCTGTAAATAACATAGTTCTAGTTTGTGGGGTCTCTATAGAACTCTGGTCTTTTAAAAGGGAGAAGGAAACCTAAAGGTTGAGCAAAATGAGTAAAGATAAGGAGAGCAAAAACTGAGATTATGGTGTTTTTATTGGTTGGTTTTTATTCATTCACCCCAAGAGTAGAATTTACCCCAATTCTTTGTCTTTTTCCCCAGTCATTTACAGTTTCTCTCTCCTTTTCCTTGTGTTAGGTCTCCCTCACTAAAACAGGGGAGAGTAGTTTTACTTAGTTGAAGCCGTGGTGACTGAAGCCCTCTTCCAGATACTAGCTGTTAGGTTGAATTCAGTAGGCGGGGTATGTATGAACGATTTCGAAGTCTTCTCATGGCGCACTTCTATTGTTTTTTATTCCTTGGTAGTGGAGAGCAGTGTAGTACTGAGGTTTTCTGTATCAAATATGCTGTATTTGATGGGATAAATTATGTTTTGTTTATTCTTCCAGCAGCAATTAAAGCTATATGTTATTGTGTTTTAGTAAACTAAGGAAGGTAATGCTTTTGTCTTTTTTTGGTATATAGAGTTGTGCAGCCCAAACATATATCTCAAAATGGCAAACTACTCTAATTTTTCCCATAATTGGATACATGGTTATGATTTTATGCAAAAGTTCATCCTTAAAGTAATCTATAACAAAAAGATTTCTCAAAACATTGTATTGGGGTAGTGAAATCTGTATCCTGTAGCATCTTGAAATTAGTGGCATGTATTGGATACAGTACTGAGATTGTAACTTAAAAATCAGTGAAAGAGCTCTGGAAATTTTATTTCAAACAAGAATGACACAGATCATTCTTGTCTGTGAAATTAATCAAATTTTTAAACCTTTCAATTTTTGTCAATTTAGTGTTTGAGATGTAAGTATAGAAACTACTCCAGTAACTTTTCAATTATGTCACAACAAAAAATGTAATACTCATAAATGTGATACATGCTGGAAAATAATATTTAATGTTAGCTTTAGTAATAAAAAGTCAATCCTATTTTTATCATGTTTTGTTTCCATGTTTTGTTGAAACTTACATAGAATTTATTGGTCAAATATGACTTAGTCTGGGGCTAAGATTATTCCAGAATGAGTAGATTGTTGGCCTTAGGTTTTGAAAATGTAGGTGCTATATTGAATGTAAAGACTGTCATTTGCTTACCAGTTCTTCTATCATCTTACTGCATCTCGTATGGTCAGTAGTGGTGCCACCTGACTTGTTTTACCATTTTGTGTTGCTTGTGGTTGTCTTATTTTTGCGATCTATCTATATGTACTTCTCTAATAATTTCTCCTTTAGTTTTATTTGTTTCAGTACTACTGTATCATGTAGGAACTCAGTCTTCTGTCAGAAATAATAGAGGAATTTTAGGGTCAATTTTTCTTTTTTTTTTTTCTGTGTCTCAAGTTACTGATAAAATTCTCCAGCTTTTAAGTGTTATTACAGGTTTAAATTATAAAATAAATTATGAAAGTCTAGACTACTGGGTTTAGTACAAGATGCACATCTATAGCTTGGTCTGTATTTTGAAACTTTTCTCAGTTGTCTTCCCAAAGGGTGCAATAACTTAAATTTTTTTTTCTTTTTTAAAAGTAGGCTCCATGCCCAGTGTGGAGGCCAGTGGTGGGCTTGAACTCAAAACCCTGAGATCAGGTCCTGAGCTGAGATCAAGAGTCAGACACTTGACCAGCTGAGCCACCCAGGCACCCCTAAAATTTATTTTTCTAGTTATGTCCCAACACTTTTTTGTCAAGTTCATTCTTGAAGTGGTGAATATTATTTTCAAATCATTTATCACTAGTGAGGACCACTGATGGTGGTCAAGCTACAGTTAGCTTGGTACATTTTGGTACCTGACTCTGGTTTTCTTATGCAAGTGAACCTCCATATTGAACTGCCTGTGCCCATTGTTTCTGTATTTTCTAGGTATAGAGTTTAAGTTGTTGTTGTTGTTGTTGTTTTAAGATTTTATTTATTTGAGAGAGAGCACGCACATGTGTGGGGGGCACAGAGACAGAGGGACAAGCAGACTCCCTGCTAAACACAGAACCCGAGGGGCGCTCCATCCCAGGACCCTGAAATCAAGAGTCAGATGCTTATCCTAAACAACTGAGCCACACAGGTGCCCACCCCTCCTTTTTTTTCTAAACATGGTAAAAGTATCTCACAAGTTAGTGATGAGCCTAAATTACATAATGCCTCTGAGATAATTTGGGAAGCATACCATATTAGATGGTTGCAGGTTAGAATGATGATAATCATTGCTTCTGGATGGGACTTTTTTTCTTAGACAAAATGGAATTATAGTAGCTTTTTCCTTCAATTGTGGTAGGTAGTGTTCTTAAGAAAGAAAATTGATCAACTGACCAGAGAGAACCTGGTGAGTGAGGAGAAGCCTGGCCTTGTGGCTTTTCCTCCCCAGCCATGGCTGAGTTGGGGACTCTGATGGATTCAGTGGGTGGGGGGGGGGAAGGAAAGAAAAAAAAAAAACTGATCAAACTTCATTGCAATCTAGTAAAAGTGGTTTTTTTTGTTTTTGTTGTTTTTTTTTTTTTTAAAGATTATTTATTTATTTATTTGACAGGCAGAGATTACAAGTAGGCAGAGAGGCAGGCAGAGAGAGAGAGAGGAGGAAGCAGGCTCCCTGCTGAGCAGAGAGCCCGATGCGGGGCTCGATCCCAGGACCCTGGGATCATGACCTGAGCCGAAGGCAGAGGCTTTAACGCACTGAGCCACCCAGGCGCCCCATAAAAGTGGTTTTTAACAGCTCTATTTATGATATAGGAATTGAATTATACGAGTCAAATTATAGTTGGAAAAGCAATTCAGAATGTTGATCTTATAGTTGGTCAGTATTTTTATGTGTTTGTATGGGTTCAAGGTGCAACTTTTTAAGGTCTGGAAGGAATTACTGCAAATCTACTTCTTGTCTACTTATGTTTTCAGTTATATGGCCAGTAACTGGCCAATCATCAGAACCATTTAAAGAGCTTCTTGCCAAATTTTTAGACTTTCCCTCAGGCGCACTAAGTCAGAAACCTCTAGGATTGAAGTCCAGAAATCTTTTTTTTTTTTTTTTTTAATTGCTCCAGATGATTCTGTTTGGGAAGCTCACTGTCAATCTGTATCCCAAAACATGTATGTGTAGAATTCTTTACATAAGCAGTTTGAGAAATGGGTGTAAACCTCCCTTGAAACCTAACACCATAATTTTCTTAAGTATTTTTTTTAAAGATTTTATTTATTTATTTGACAGAGAGTGAGAGATCACAAGTAGGCATAGAGGCAGGCAGAGAGTGAGGGGGAGGCAGGCTCCCCGCGGAGCAGAGAGCCCAATGCAGGGCTCGATCTCAGGACCATGAGATCATGACCCGAGGCAAAGGCAGAGACTTAACCCATTGAGCCACCCAGGCACCCCTAAATGTATCTTTATTAAGGGAAATGTCAGGTTTTTAGATTTCCATGATAATAACTACTATTGTTTTTTTTTTTTTTTTAGATTTTTATTTATTGATTTGACAGAGAGAGATCACAGGTAGACAGAGAGGCAGGCAGAGAAAGAGAGAGAGAGAGAGAGAGAGAGAGAGAGAAGCAGGCTCCCTGCTGAGCAGAGAGCCCGATGCGGCACTCGATCCCAGGACCCTGAGATCATGACCTGAGCCGAAGGCAGCGGCTTAACCCACTGAGCCACCCAGGTGCCAAATAACTACTATTGTTTTATAATATTGAATCAATATTATATATATAATATATATAATATATATAATATATTATATATATAATATATATAATATAAAATTGAATCGATCTCATTGAATATGCAGGGAACTAATGAAATATATTTTAGATATAAATGAAGGAAA